TTAAGCTGGTTAAGTTAGACAGATCAGGGGTAGGTTAAGCTGGTTAAGCTAGACAGATCAGGGGTAGGTTAAGCTGGTTAAGCTAGACAGATCAGCGGTAGGTTAAGCTGGTTAAGTTAGACAGATCAGGGGTAGGTTGAGCTGGTTAAGCTAGACAGATCAGGTGCAGGTTAAGCTGGTTAAGCTAGACAGATCAGCGGTAGGTTAAGCTGGTTAAGCTAGACAGATCAGCGGTAGGTTAAGCTGGTTAAGCTAGACAGATCAGGGGTAGGTTAAGCTAGACAGAGCAGGGGTAGGTTAAGCTAGACAGAGCAGGGGTAGGTTAAGCTGGTTAAGCTAGACGCAGTTGCCATGTCGCAGTTGTAAATGAGAACTTGTTCTCAACTGGCTTCTTACCTGGTTAAATAAAGGTGGGAAAAAAGACAGATCAGGGGTAGGCTAAGATAGACTAGGTTAAGCAAGACAGATCAGAGGTAGGCCAAGTTAAACTAGGCTAAACTAGACAGAGCAGGGGTGGGCTAAACTAGACTCTCTCTCTCTCTTTCTCTCAGCCCCTACCCCAGCCCTCTCCTCTCTAAGCTTCTCTCTCAGAGTACTGCTTCCTCCCAGGCAGCCTGCAGTCAGGACTCTGGTCCCGGGGGACGGCCTTGGCATCTGGACTTGGCTGCTGATCCCTTTCCCAGGAAACAAACACTCCCTTCACACAGCCTGTCCCTCTCTCTCTGGTTAGAACACTCCCTTCACACAGCCTGTCCCTCTCTCTATGGTTAGAACACTCCCTTCACACAGCCTGTCCCTCTCTCTCTGGTTAGAACACTCCCTTCACACAGCCTGTCCCTCTCTCTCTGGTTAGAACACTCCCTTCACACAGCCTGTCCCTCTCTCTCTGGTTAGAACACTCCCTTCACACAGCCTGTCCCTCTCTCTATGGTTAGAACACTCCCTTCACACAGCCTGTCCCTCTCTCTCTCTGGTTAGAACACTCCCTTCACACAGCTGTCCCTTCTCTCTGGTTAGAACACTCCCTTCACACAGCCTGTCCCTCTCTCTATGGTTAGAACCTCCCTTCACACAGCCTGTCCCTCTCTCTCTGGTTAGAACACTCCCTTCACACAGCCTGTCCCTCTCTCTCTGGTTTAGAACACTCCCTTCACACAGCCTGTCCCTCTCTCTGTGGTTAGAACACTCCCTTCACACAGCCTGCCCCTCTCTCTGTCGTTAGGTTAGAGAGAGAGACCAGAACCCATCAATAATTTATGTAATATAATTGGCAAACTTGACAACAGCATAAAATAAAATAAAATAAAGATGTGTGCATGTTACATACATAAAAACATAACTATCTACCATGTGAGTCTCTGTATGGATTAATTACAGATAAAATAAGGCATATGATTACCTTTTAATGGGCTCAATTTGATCTGGGAATAATCCTGACCTCAAACCACACTAGTTCCTCACAAGAGGTATATAATAATATGTCATTTAACAGACGCTTTTATCCAAAGCGACATACAGTCATGTGTACATACATTTTTACGTATGGGTGGTCCCGGGGATCAAACCCACTACCTTGGCGTTACAAGCGCCATGCTCTACCAGCTGAGCTACAGAGGACCACTTCTCTCTCACACACACACGCACACGCACACACACACACACACACACACACACACACACACACACACACACACACACACACACACACACACACACACACACACACACACACACACGGAGAATCAGGTCCAGTCTTGAAGTTCCTCGAGCACAATAAACAATGGGGCTGTTTGCCCACAGCACATTCTATAGTCATATCTATCTATGACCCTATGACCCCTCTGTTGCTCAATTGGTAGAGCACGGCGCTTGTAACGCCAGGGTAGTGGGTTCGATCCCCGGGACCACCCATACGTAAAAATGTATGCACGCTTGACTGTAAGTCGCTTTGGATAAAAGCGTCTGCTAAATGGCATATTATACGTTTTTAAAGTCTATAACCCTGGACCTAAAGACGTTGAACAACAATGGAATTAAGACAGGTTTTGACATAGCTGAGGTAAAAACTGATTATTATCCTGTGAGAACCATCAAACGAGAACCAGAAGAGCACACATCTTGTTCTCTTTAAAACCGTCTCTAGCTGCAGTCCTGTGGGAGGAAGTTGAGCTCTGCTCGCCTCGCTATACTGCTCCACTGGGGATCATGGCACTGGATGCGTGCTAAATGGCACCCTATTCCCTATATAGCTCCTTATGGGCCCTGGTCATAGTAGTGCACTACATAGGGAACATGGTGCCATGTGGGTCGAAGCACTTCATTTCTATGGCAATACTAATTCAACTCACTTTTTTTCTTCTCTCTCTCTCTCTCTCTCTCTCTCTCTCTCTCTCTCCTCCTCTCTCTTCCTCCCTCTCTCGTCCCTCTCGCTCTCCTCCCTCTCTCTCTCCTCCCCTTCGGTTGTTAACGACAAGACAAGCCCGTAACTACCTACAGACCCTGTATCTGTGTCAACAACCATCATGATACACCTAATTAACTACTACTGCTACTCTCCTATTTTCCTGAACCTTTCTCACTATCCCCTCTGCTCCTCCTACTACTCTACCTACTACCTCCTACTGCTACTTGCCTCTACTCACTGGTAACTGCTCACTACTCTACTCCCTCAACTAGCTGCTCTATCTTCTACTACTACTACTACTCTACTCTACCTGTACTGCTGTAACACAGACACTGAACTAGCTATCTACTACGATCTCAACTACTACTACCTACTATTCTACTACTACTAGACTAACTGTACTACTACTACTACTGCTACTACTCTACTAACTGATACTACTACTACTACTACTACTGCTACTATGCTACTACTACTACTACTACTGCTACTACTACTACTCTACTACTACTACTACTCTGCTACTACTGCTACTACTACTGATACTACTACTAACTACTACTACTGCTTACTACTACTACTACTACTATACTACTACTACTACTACTCTACTAACTACTACTAGCTACTACTACTACTGCTACTACTACTACTACTGCTACTATACTACTACTACTACTACTACCTACTACTACTACTACTGCTACTACTACTACTTACTACTACTACTACCTACTACTACTCAGATACTACTACTACACTACTACTACTAGCTACTACTGACTACTACTACTACTACTACTACTACTCTACTACTACTGCTACTACTACTACTACTTACTACTACTCTATCTACTACTACTAGCTACTACTACTACTACTACTACTACTCTATTACTACTACTACTACTGCTACTACTACTACTACTACTACTACTACTACTACTACTACTACTACTCTACTACTCTACTACCTACTACTACTACTACTGCTACTACTACTACTACTACTGCTACTACACTATACTATCTACTACTACTAACTGCTACTACTACTACTGCTACTGATACCTACTGCTACTACCTTACTGCTACTACTACATACTACTACTACTAACTACTACTACTACTACTACTACTATACTACTACTAGCTACTGCTACTCTACTATTGCTACTACTACTGCTACTACTACTTACTACTACTAACTGCTATACTACTACTACTACTACTACTCTACTACTACTACTAATACTTATACTACTGTACTACTATACTACTACTATACTGCTACTAGCTACTACTACTACTACTGCTACTCTACTACTACTACTACTACTGCTACTACTGCTACACTACTACTCTACTACTACTACTGCTACTCTATACTACTTACTACTACTATACTACTACTACTACTGTACTACTACTACTACTGCTACTACTACTACTACTGCTACTACTACTACTGTACTACCTACTACTACTACTACTGCTACTGCTACTACTACTACTACTACTGCTACTGCTACTACTACTGCTCCTACTACTGCTACTGCTGCTACTACTACTACTGCTACTGCTACTTCTACTACTGCTACTACTACTACTACTACTACTGATACTACTACTACTACTACTGCTACTACTACTACTACTACTACTACTGCTACTACTACTACTACTACTACTGCTACTACTACTACTACTACTACTACTACTACTGCTATTACTACTACTACTACTACTTCTACTACTACTACTATTCCCAGCACAAAGCAGTATCAGATAACGTCTTACCCTAGTACACCACAGTTTCGAATATATTTCTATAGTTTCTAAGCATGTAAATGACTAGTCAGCTGACTTTGTGAGTGACTGATTCTCTTTCACCAGCACCTAGTGAGAATCCAACAACTGACTGAGTTAAACCTATCTTCTTTCCTGTCCTCTCCTCTCCTCTCTTCTCTTCCCCTCCACATCTTCCTCCCCTATTCCCACTTAATGTGAAAACTAAGACCTTACAACATCTCCCTCTCCTCTCCTCTTCTGTGGTTTCACATTCTCATTCCACACAAAGGACCTACGGCTGGATGATACTGTTTGTGAATTAAGAAATTAAAAAAATTATCTCTAAATCTCCCCAATCATAACAGATCGGAGTGTTGGATCTCCGGAACTGGGCTCAGTAGATTACTGTCATCTTCTACAACTTGTCCCTTGTAGCTAACAACCTCCAATTAACAGCCCCCACTGTGCCCATCGCTGTCCTGACGCAGAGTCGGCATGACAGCCGGGGAGATTAGCAGACCTGCGTGTTCCTCTAGACACGCTCTGGCAAGCCATGTCATCATCACAAACCTTTCCAGGGGAAATACATATTCAAGAGAGAGAGAGAGAGACACACAACTGGGTGTGTCTGAAATGGCAGCCTATTCTCTATGTAGAGCACTACTTTTGACCAGGGCTATCTGGGTTCTCCTATGGGATCTGGTTTAAAGTAGTGCACTACACAGGGAATAGGGTGCCCTTTGGGAAGCAGAGCAAGAGAAGACAGAAGAAGAAAAAGGCCAAAATAATGACAAGATAGAACACCAGGGGATAGAACACCAGGGGATAGAACACCAGGGGATAGAACACCAGGGGATAGAACACCAGGGGGATAGAACACCGGGGGATAGAACACCGGGGGATAGAACACCAGGGGGATAGAACACCAGGGGATAGAACACCAGGGGATAGAACACCAGGGGATAGAACACCAGGGGGATAGAACACCGGGGGATAGAACACCGGGGGATAGAACACCAGGGGGATAGAACACCAGGGGATAGAACACCAGGGGATAGAACACCAGGGGATAGAACACCAGGAGATAGAACACCAGGGGGATAGAACACCAGGGGGATAGAACACCAGGGGGATAGAACACCAGGGGGGCTAGAACACCAGGGGATAGAACACCTGGGGATAGAACACCAGGGGATAGAACACCAGGGGATAGAACACCAGGGGGATAGAACACCAGGGGATAGAACACCAGGGGAATAGAACACCGGGGGATAGAACACCGGGGGATAGAACACCGGGGGATAGAACACCAGGAGATTGAACACCTGGGGATAGAACACCAGGGGATAGAACACCAGGGGATAGAACACCGGGGGATAGAACACCGGGGGATAGAACACCTGGGGATAGAACACCTGGGGATAGAACACAAGGGGATAGAACACCTGGGGATAGAACACCAGGGGATAGAACACCGGGGGATAGAACACCAGGGGGATAGAACACCAGGGGGGATAGAACACCAGGGGATAGAACACCAGGGGGATAGAACACCAGGGGATAGAACACCAGGGGGATAGAACACCAGGGGATAGAACACCTGGGGATAGAACACCAGGGGATAGAACACCGGGGGGATAGAACACCAGGGGGATAGAACACCAGGGGATAGAACACCTGGGGATAGAACACCAGGGGATAGAACACCAAGGGATAGAACACCAAGGGATAGAACACCGGGGGATAGAACACCGGGGGATAGAACACCAAGGGATAGAACACCAAGGGATAGAACACCAGGGGGATAGAACACCAGGGGATAGAACACCAGGGGGATAGAACACCAGGGGGATAGAACACCAGGGGGATAGAACACCAGGGGGATAGAACACCAGGGGATAGAACACCAAGGGATAGAACACCAAGGGATAGAACACCGGGGGATAGAACACCGGGGGATAGAACACCGGGGGATAGAACACAGGGATAGAACACCAAGGGATAGAACACCAGGGGATAGAACACCAGGGGATAGAACACCAGGGGGTAGAACACCAGGGGGGTAGAACACCAGGGGATATAACACCAGGGGATAGAAACACCAGGGGATAGAACACCAGGGGATAGAACACCAGGGGATAGAACACCAGGGGATAGAACACCAGGGGATAGAACACCAGGGGGATAGAACACCAGGGGATAGAACACCAGGGGATAGAAACACCAGGGATAGAACACCAAGGGGATAGAACACCAGGGGGATAGAACACCAGGGGATTAGACACCAGGGGGTAGAACACCAGGGGGATAGAACACCAGGGGGGATAGAAACACCTGGGGATATTAACACCAGGGGGATAGTAACACCAGGGGATAGAACACCAGGGGATAGAACACCAGGGGATAGAACACCAGGGGTGATTAGAACACAGGAGATAGAACACCCAGGGGATAGAACACCAGGGGGCTAGAACACCAGGGGATAGAACACCAGGGGGACTTAGACACCATGGGGATAGAACACCAGGGGACTTAGAACACCAGGAGATAGAACAGCCAGGGGGATAGAACAACCCAGGGGAATAAGAACACCAGGGGGGATAGAACACCAGGGGATAGATACACCAGGGGGATTAGAACACCAGGAGATAGGAAACACCAGGGTGATAGAAAACACCAGGGGGGATTAGAACACCAGGGGATTAGAACAACCAGGGGTATAGAAACACCGGGGGGAATTAGAACACCGGGGGGGGGATAGAACACCGGGGGGATAGCACACCAGGGGATTAGAACACCAGGGGATAGAACACCGGGGATAGAAACACCAGGGGATAGAACACCATGGGATAGACCACCAGGGGATAGAACACCAGGGGGAGAGAACACCAGGAGATAGAACACACCAGGGGATAGAACACCAGGGGATAAACACCAGGGGATAGAACAACCGGAGAAGAACACCAGGGATAGAACACCAGGGATAGAACACCAGGGGGATAGAAACCAGGAGATAGAACACAGGGAGAACACAAAACAGCTAGCTTTACATTGTTGTGTCCTTACAAAGTTACGACCGCCATGAGTCAAACAGACGAGAGGAAAAGAGGAGGGAGAAGGCAGAGAGAGAGAGAGAGGAGAGAGAGAGAAGAGGAAGTATCTCATCGGGAGAGCGAGGTAGAGAGAGCAGAGAGCGAGAGCGAGAGCTCGCGGCGCGCGCAGCGTCGCGAGAGAGGACGTCTCCCGAGAGCTCGCGCACAATTCTCTCACAGCGCGCGCTCTCTCGCTCTCTCTATCATCTCTCTCTTCTCTTCTCTCTCTCTCTCACATTCCTCTCATCTCTCTCTCTCTCTCTCTCTCTCTAGCAGCAGCAGCAGAAAGAGATTAATTGAGCTTTTGCTGCTATATTATTTCACAGTGCCAATGACTAATACACCACCCAGTATCCCATAATACATATCAAATCAAATTTTATTTGCCACATGCGCCGAATACAACAGGTGTAGACATTACCGTGAAATGCTTACTTACAGTCCCTTAACCAACAATGCATTTATTTTTTAATAAAAATAAAACAACAACAAAAAAGTGTTGAGAAAAAAGAGCAGAAGTAAAATAAAATAACAGTAGGGAGGCTATATATACAGGGGGGTACCGGTGTAGAGTCAATGTGCGGGGGCACCGGCTAGTTGAGGTAGTTGAGGTAATATGTGCATGTGGGTAGAGTTAAAGTGACTATGCATAAATAATTAACAGAGTAGCAGCAGCGTAAAAAGTTGGGGTGGGGGTGGGGGGGGCAGTGCAAATAGTCCGGGTGGGGTAGCCATGATTAGCTGTTCAGGAGTCTTATGGATTGGGGGGTAGAAGCTGTTGAGAAGCCTTTTGGACCTAGACTTGGCGCTCCGGTACCGCTTGCCGTGCGGTAGCAGAGAGAACAGTCTATGACTAGGGTGGCTGGAGTCTTTGACAATTTTGAGGGCCTTCCTCTGACACCGCCTGGTATAGAGGTCCTGGATGGCAGGAAGCTTTGCCCCAGTGATGTACTGGGCCGTACGCACTACCCTCTGTAGTGCCTTGCGGTCGGAGGCCAAGCAGTTGCCATACCAGGCGGTGATGCAACCAGTCAGTCCACGATCACCTCCTTTATCTTGGTCACGTTGAGGGAGAGGTTGTTATCCTGGCACCACACTGCCAGGTCTCTGACCACCTCCCTATAGGCGAGCATAGAAGTGGTTTAGCTCGTCTGGAAGTCTTGTGTCACTGGGCAGCTCGCGGCTGTGCTTCCCTTTGTAGTCTGTAATAGTTTTCAAGCCCTGCCACATCCGACGAGCGTCAGAGCCGGTGTAGTACGATTCAATCTTAGTCCTGTATTGACTCTTTGTCTGGTTGATGGTTCGTCGGAGGACATAGCGGGATTTCCTATAAGCGTCCGGGTTAGAGTCCCGCTCCTTGAAAGCGGCAGCTCTACCCTTTAGCTCAGTGCAGATGTTTGAAGATTGGCTAATAGGATTGATGGAAGAGGCAGCTTACTCGCTCGCCGTCGGATCCTTACAAGGCACCCCGACCTACGTCCACGATATCTCCGTGTCTTTCTCATGCGAATGACGGGGATTTGGGCCTTGTCGGGTGTCTGTAGGATATCCTTCGAGTCCGACTAGTTGAAGAAAAAATCTTCGTCCAATACGAGGCGAGTAATCGCTGTCCTGATATCCAGAAGCTCATTTAGGTTATTCAGTGAGGGAAAAAAGTATTTGATCCCCTGCTGATTTTGTACGTTTGCCCACTGACAAAGAAATGATCAGTCTATAATTTTTATGGTAGGTTTATTTGAACAGTGAGAGACAGAATAACAACAACAAAATCCAGAAAAACGCATGTCAAAAATGTTATAAATTGATTTGCATTTTAATGAGGAAAATAAGTATTTGACCTCTCTGCAAAACATGACTTAGTACTTGGTTCAATCTGCAACTCTATACATGTCCACAAACCCTATCGATATTGTTACTTTTTCTGTCACATCAATTCACTGATGACTATTACAGAGTAACCAGACTCTTTACCCACTAAGTATTCTGATACCACAAACACACACACACACACACACACACACAATTCCTCTGATACCACCGAGTAGTAGGGTTGGGTGGTATACCAGTATTGATGCACGGACCGGTTTGGGTTTTTACATTCTATAATGGTATTTCAATTTTTGGTTTGTTAAATGTGACCCGTTACTCCGCCGTGTGTAATGTCTGTTTCGATAGTTTACTACTACTACTGCTACTTGAGCCGTCTCTCTCCTCCTCTCTCTCTCTCCATGCTCCTTTCCCCACAGACCAAGCCCCTCCTCCTGTCACTCAAGGAGTGCAGTTGTTGTTGCTCGACCACAATAAAATTAAATCATGGTCAATTATTATAATTTGTTGTACATGCTCAGACCCCCATCCATAGTGCCTGCGCCATTTACAGTACATCTTGCTGGTTTTTCAATGCAACCAGACGGCAGACTCGGTTAAGGGAAACTGAAATCCGTTTTACCAAATTTTTACCAGGATGTCACTTGTGGAACAAGAGGCAACAAAACTCTAGATCACCTTTACTCCACACACAGAAATGCACACAAGGCCCTGCCTCTCCTACCCTTTGGCAAATCAGACCATAACTCTATCCTCCTGCTTACAGGCAAAACCTCAAACAGGAAGTACCAGTGACGTGCTCAATACGGAAGTGGTCCGATGAACTGGATGCTAAGCTACAGGACTCTTTCGCTAGAACAGACTGGAATATGTTCCGGGATTCATCCGATAACATTGAGGAGTTTACCACATCAGTCACCGGCTTCATTAATAAGTCGATCGATGACGTTGTCCCCACAGTGACCATACGCACATATCCCAACCAGAAGCCATGGATTACAGGCAGCATCCCCACTGAGCTAAAGGCTAGAGATACCTCTTTCAAGGAGCAGGACACTAATCCGGACGCTTATAAGAAATCCCACTAGGACCTCCGACGAGCCATCAAAGAGAAAAAGCGCAAAGATCGAATCCTACTACGCCGGGACTGACACTCAACGGATGTGCCTTTTTAATTATTTTTATTAGGATTCCCATTAGCTGACGCCAATGAAGACAGCTAGTCTTACTGGGGTCTGACATATTACGAAATATACATTAGACTTTACAATTTACATACATTTAAAAACATGAACATGTAGTGTGTGTGTGCATCTATTAGTTACACATACATGTCAGTACAGTAGGTCACATGGGGGAGAGGCATTATGCCGTGAGGTGTTACTTTATTAGTTTTTTGAAACCAGGTTTGCTGTTCACTTGCGCTATATAAGATGGAAGGGAGTACCATACACTCATGGCTCTGTATAATACTGTACATTTCCTTGAATTTGTTCTGGACTTGGGGACTGTGAAAAGACCCCTGGTGGCATGTCTGGTGGGGTAAGTGTGTGTGTCAGTGCTGTGTGTAAGTTGACTATGCAAACAATTTGGAATTTCCAACACATTCATGTTTCTTATAAAAACAAGAAGTGACGCAGTCAGTCTTACCTCAACTCTTAGCCAAGAGAGACTGGCATGCATTGTATTGATATCAAATCAAATCAAATCAAATTTTATTGGTCACATGCGCCGAATACAACAGGTGCAGACATTACAGTGAAATGCTTACTTACAGCCCTTAACCAACAGTGCATTTATTTTAAACAAAAAAGTAAGAATAAAACAACAACAAAAAAGTGTTGAGAAAAAAAGAGCAGAAGTAAAAAATAAAGTGACAGTAGGGAGGCTATATATACAATAGAATAAAGTGACAGTAGGGAGGCTATATATACAGGGGGGTACCGTTGCATAGTCAATGTGCGGGGGCACCGGCTAGTTGAGGTAGTTGAGGTAATATGTACATGTGGGTAGAGTTAAAGTGACTATGCATAAATACTTAACAGAGTAGCAGCAGCGTAAAAAGGATGGGGTGGGGGGGCAGTGCAAATAGTCCGGGTAGCCATGATTAGCTGTTCAGGAGTCTTATGGCTTGGGGGGTAGAAGCTGTTGAGAAGTCTTTTGGACCTAGACTTGGCACTCCGGTACCGCTTGCCGTGCGGTAGCAGAGAGAACAGTCTATGACTAGGGTGACTGGAGTCTTTGACAATTTTGAGGGCCTTCCTCTGACACCGCCTGGTATAGAGGTCCTGGATGGCAGGGAGCTTTGCCCCAGTGATGTACTGGGCCGTACGCACTACCCTCTGTAGTGCCTTGAGGTCAGAGGCCAAGCAGTTGCCATACCAGGCGGTGTGATGCAACCAGTCAGGATGCTCTCGATGGTGCAGCTGTAGAATTTTTTGAGGATCTGAGGACCCATGCCAAATCTTTTTAGTCTCCTGAGGGGGAATAGGCTTTGTCGTGCCCTCTTCACGACTGTCTTGGTGTGTTTGGACCATGATAGTTCGTTGGTGATGTGGACACCAAGGAACTTGAAGCTCTCAACCTGTTCCACTACAGCCCCGTCGATGATATCAGCCCTCTGACTACAATGAAGAGCAAGATGTGTCGCTCTGTTCTGAACCAGCTGCAGCTTAACTAGGTCTTTCCTTGCTGCACTGGACCACATCACTGGACAATAATCAAGATAAGGCAAAACTAGAGCCTGCAGGACTTGCTTTGTGGAGTGTGGTGTCAAAAAAGCAGAGCATCTCTTTATTACAGACAGACCTCTCCCCATCTTTACAACCATTGTGGTCCTCTGTAGCTCAGCTGGTAGAGCACGGCGCTTGTAACGCCAGGGTAACGCCAGGGTAGTGGGTTCGATCCCCGGGACCACCCATACACAAAAAATAGTTTTATGCACGCATGACTGTAAGTCACTTTGGATAAAAGCGTCTGCTAAATGGCATATTATATTATTATATTATTATATTATACATATTATATTGAATCTACAGTATATTTGACCATGACTGTTTACAATCTAAGGTAACACCAAGTAATTCAGTTTCCTCAACCTGTTCAACAGCCACACCATTCATTACCAGATTCAGCTGAGGTCTAGAACTTAGGGAATGATTTGTACAAATTACAATTCTCTTAGTTTTAGAGATGTTCAGGACCAGTTTATTACTGGCCACCAATTCCAAAACAGACTGCAACTCTTTGTTAAGGGTTTCAGTGACTTCATTAGCTGTGGTTGCTGATGTGTATATGGTTGAATCATCAGCATACATGGACACGCATGCTTTGTTTAATGCCAGTGGCAGGTCATTGGTAAAAATAGAAAAGAGTAGAGGACCTAGAGAGCTGCCCTGTGGTACACCACACTTTACATGTTTAACATTAGAGAAGCTTCCATTAAAGAAAACCCTCTGAGTTCTATTAGATAGATAGCTCTGAATCCAGGATATGGCAGAGGTTGAAAAGCCATAACACATACGTTTTCTCAACAACAGGTTATGGTCAATAATATCAAAGGCTGCACTGAAATCTAACAGTACAGCTCCCACAATCTTCTTATTATCAATTTCTTTCAACCATGTTGAGTGCCCTTCTCTATAAGCATGCTGAAAGTCTGTTGTTAATTTGTTTACAGAGAAGTAGCGTTGTATTTGGTCAAACAACATTTTTCCCAACGGATTTGGTAAGAGCTGGCAGCAAGCTGATTGGTCTGCTGTTAGAACCAATAAAGGCTGCTTTACCACTCTTGGGTAGCGGAATGACTTTGGCTTCCCTCCAGGCCTGAGGACAAAGACTTTCCTCTAGGCTCAGATTAAAGATATGACAGATAGGAGTGGCTATAGAGTCAGCTACCATCCTCAGTAGCTTTCCATCTAAGTTGTCAATGCCAGGAGGTTTGTCATTATTGATCGTTAACAATCATTTTTCCACCTCGCCCACAATAACTTTACAAAATTCAAACTTGCAATGCTTTTCTCTCATTATTATTATTTGTTTATGCATGAATATGATGGCTCACTGATCGTTGTTGGCATTTCCTGCCTAGATTTGCCCGCTTTGCCAACGAAGTAATCTTTTAAATAATTGGCAACATCAAATGGTTTTGTGATGAATAAGCGTTCTGAATATGTCTTTCTGCCCATCATTTCATTTAAAGTACTCAAGTTTATTTTCTATCATTCTTTATATCATTGATCTCGGCTTCATAATACAGTTTCTTCTTATTTTTGTTGAGTTTAGTCACATCATTTCTCAATTTGCAGTAAGTCAGCCAGTCAGATGTGCAGCCAGACTTATTAGCCACTCCTTTTGCCCCATCTCTTTCAACCATACAGTTTTTCAATTCCTCATCAATCCATGGAGCCTTAACAGTTCTAACAGTCAGTTTCTTAACAGTGCATGTTTATCAATCATTGGAAGAAAACATTTCATAAATTCCTCAAGTGCAGCGTCTGGATGCTCCTTATTAATCACATCAGTCCAAACAATCACGGATTACACGACGCTGCCCAGTGACATGAGCCTACCAGACAAGCTAAATTACTCCTATGTGCACTTCGAGGCAAGCAACACTGAAGCATGCATGAGAGCTCCAGCTGTTCCAGACGACTGAGTGATCACGCTCGCTGTAGCCGATGTGAGTAAGACCTTTAAACAGGTCAACATTCACAAGACCGCAGGGCCAGACAGATTACCAGGACCTGTACTCCGAGCATGCGCTGACAAACTGGCAAGTGTCTTCACTGACATTTTCAACCTACCCTGGCTTATTCTGTAATACCTACATGTTTCAAGCAGGCCACCATAGTCCCTGTGCCCAAGAACACCAAGGTAACCTGCCTAAATTACTACTGATCCGTAGCACTCATGTCTGTAGCCATTAAGTGATTTGAAAGGCTGGTCATGGCTCACATCAACACCATCATCCCAGAAACCCTAGACCAACTCCAATTTGCATACCGCCCCAACAGATCCACAGATGACGCAATCTCTATTTCACTCAACACTGCCCTTTCCCACCTAGACAAAAGGAACACCTACGTGAGAATGCTGTTCATTGACTACAGCTCAGCGTTCAACACCATAGTGCCCTCAAAGCTCATCACTAAGCTAAGAACCCTGGGACTAAACACCTCCCTCTGCAACTGGATCCTGGACTTCCTGACGGGCCGCCCCCAGGTGGTAAGGGTAGGTAACAACACATCGGCCACGCTGATCCTCAACATGGGGGCTCCTCAGGGGTGCGTGCTTAGTCCCCTCCTGTACTCCCTGTTCACCCATGACTGCATGGCCAGGCACGACTCCAACACCATCATTAAGTTTACCGACGACACAACGATTGTAGGCCTGATCACCGACAACGATGAGACAGCCTATAGGGAGGAGGTCAGAGACCTGGCAGTGTGGTGCCAGGATAACAACCTCTCCCTCAACGTGATCAAGACAAAGGAGATGATCGTGGACTACAGGAAAAGGAGGACCGAGCACGCCCCCATTCTCATCAACAGGGCTGTAGTGGAGCAGGCTGAGAGCTTCAAGTTCCTTGGTGTCCACATAACCAACAAACTATCATGGTCCAAACATACCAAGACAGTCGTGAAGAGGGCACGACAACGCCTATTCAAATCATATCAAATCGTGTTTGTCACATGCGCCGAATACAACAGGTGTAGAATTCTTAACAGGTGTTAAGAAAATATTTACTAAATAAACAAATGTAAAAAATATTAAAAAGTAACACAATAAAATAACAATAACGAGGCTATATACAGGGGGAACCTGTACCGAGTTAATGTGCGGGGGTACAGGTTAGTCCAGGTAATTTGCACAAGTAGGTAGGGGTTAAGTGACTATGCATAGATAATAAACAGCGAGTAGCAGCAGTGGGGGGCATTTGGCTTGGGGGCTAGCTGCAGTCCAACTGGCAAATCTGGGTTTGGCGGATGCCAGGAGAACGCTACCTGCCCCAACGCACAGTGCCAACTGTAAAGTTTGGTGGAGGAGGAATAATGGTCTGGGGCTGTTTTCCATGGTTCAGGCTAGGCCCCTTAGTTCCAGTGAAGGGAAATCTTAACGCTACAGCATACAATGACATTCTAGATGATTATGTGCTTCCAACTTTGTGGCAACAGTTTGGGGAAGGCCCTTTCCTGTTTCAGCATGACAATGCCCCCATGCACAAAGCGAAGTCCATACAGAAATGGTTTGTCGAGATCGGTGTGGAAAAACTTGACTGTCCTGCACAGAGCCCTGACCTCAACCCCATCGAACCCCTTTGGGATGAATTGGAACGCCGACTGCGAGCCAGGCCTAATCGCCCAACATCAGTGCCCGACCTCACTAATGCTCTCGGCTGAATGGAAGCAATTCTCTGCAACAATATACATTATACATTTGCTAAACATTCTAAAAACCTGTTTTCGCGTTGTCATTATGGGGTGTTGTGTGTAGATTGATGAGGAAAAACATGTATTTAATCAATTTCAAAATAAGGCTGTAACGTAACAAAATGTGGAAAAAGTCAAGGGGTCTGATTACTTTCCAAATGCACTGTAAACGACAGTGTGCATGTATTTCTATTTCATACATCCAAATATTGGTTTTCAAATTATATTTGATGTGATAAATGTACTGTTTCACATCAATGATGGAACATACTTAAGTGCAGTGATGTAGTCAAGTCACTAAACCTTGAGTCTGAGTCGAGTCCCAAGTCCCCAGCGTTTGAGTCTGAGTCGAGTCCCAAGTCCCCAGCGTTTGAGTCCAAGTCGAGTCAGAGTCCTGGACTCAACCACCACAACACCGCATGGATAGTATGCAAGTATTTATAGTATTTATAGTGTGCAAGTATTTATATAGGTGATTATTACCTGTCGTTGTTGACTCAGTTTAAAGTGGAGTCCAGATCCAGGCTGGCTGAGAGGGGTTCTCTGGGCCAGGGCCTTAGGCTGCAAGTGAGGAGACCCAGACATGGGCAGCTGCTGCTGGGGGTTCTGGTAGTTATGAACTGGGTGGTTCTGGTTCAGGTTCTGGGCTGAGGTGGACGGCTGTTGTTGTTGTTGTTGTTGTTGATGGGCTGTAGTCTTACTCAGTGGACCTGCCATAGTGGGGGGTTGCTGGGATGCTTTGGGGCTGAAGTGGAGCATGGGCTTGTTGCTGAGCACCTTCATATCCAGGTGGCTGGAGCCGTTGTGTCCGTTGGGCTTGAACAGACAGTTGTTCACGCTTTTACCCTGACTGTCCATGGAGGTCTGGGGGGTGATCCTCTGGCCCATCGAGGCCGGGTTGGAGAGCTTGTCCTGGGGGAAGGAGCTGGAGGAGGGCTGTGTGTCCCAGCTACTCCCTGGTCCAGCTGGGTGTTGGTGGTGGAGCAGGGCCTGGGGGTTTGGGCTGCTGCTGGTTCTGGTTGGCTGCCATCTGCTTTAGCTGCGCCGCGTGGGACACCTCAGGCCAGCCAGGGAGTCCTCTGCTGGGGGGTCCGGCCAGCCCCGAGGGACCCTGGCCTTGGCTCTTCTGGTTGGTGATGGGGGAGGAGCTGGACATTGTGAAAGAGGGACCAGCGGACGCCGGGCGGAGCTGTGAGGAGCCACCATGGCCGTGTGTCTGGCCGTAGTCTGGAGAGGAGTACTCCATCTTGATGGGCTTCTCCAGGTGGGAGCAGAGGGTAGACGCGCCGCGCTCCAGCTCCACCAGGCCGAACGTATCATCCTGCTTCAGCATCTTCTCAAACTCCAGGTCGTTCAGAGACGGGACGGTCTTCGTCAGCTCGTCGAACAGATCCTGAAGCTCCGGGTCGATCTGACTGCTGCCGACCTCATCTTTAAAGTCGAACACCATCATCTCTGTAGACCTCTGGCCGCAGGAAGTAACATGGTCTATAGGTTCCTTCTTCATCTCCTTCAGGGTCATGTTGATGAGGTCAGAGTTCACGACCCCATGGGGCATCATGTAGCTGCTGTTGTTGTTTTTCCTGTTTAGGGTGTGGCCTATGGACGAAGCACTGCCTCCCATGGACTGTGATTGCCCGGAGCTGAAGGAACAGGGTCCGTGCCCACCCAAACCGCCGCTGCCCCCCTCCAGACGGACACGTTTGAAGTCCAGCCCCGACGGCCCACAGGACAGGCCATTCTGTTGCTTGGAGTAGCCAGGAGTATGGCCCTCGATCTTCCTCCTCAGAGACCCTTGGAGCTGTGGAGATAAAGGAAAACTCTCTTGAAAAAACTGCTCACAGTCACATTATCTTAATTTCACAATACAATAGTCATTTCAAGTGGTGGCATGGTCTCATTTCAAGTGGTGGCATGGTCTCATCTTTAAAACGAATGTTTTCATATTTCTGTCCCAAAAAAAAGGTACAAATACCCACTTCAATGCTATTACCTTACTAATAGAATAACAATCGAACCAACAGATACGTATCATCAGCATGACATCAATGTAACCAGCTCTTTATGTAGCCAAGACAGCTGAACACGTTGATGCATGGAAGGCAGACTTTCTTGACAAAAAGTATTTGTCAAGGCTCTCAGATTAAAGCCAACTAGCGCTGGTCCAATTCAAGTGTTGCCTAAAGACAATCTAACAATTAAGATACCAAGACCTCCTAGTTACAGTATAAATAAATCCTAATGCTGTACTTTGATGTGGTCCTCTGTAGCTCAGCTGGTAGAGCACGGCGCTTGTAACGCCAGGGTAGTGGGTTCGATCCCCGGGACCACCCATACACAAAAATGTATGCACACATGACTGTAAGTCGCTTTGGATAAAAGCGTCTGCTAAATGGCATATTATTAATTAATGTCTTAAACCAATTAAAATGATTATGATAATTTTTAATATCAGTATAATAGAAATGTAGTCAAACAAAGTGTCTCTACGTAAATTGATCCAATTTGACAATCTGCTTCGAGGCCTCTAAACCTTGTTCACTTGACCAACCAGCCAGCATGTTAACAGAGACTTGACCAGTCAGCATGTTAGCAGGGACTTGACCCGCCAGCCATCATGTTAACAGAGACTTGACCAGCCAGCATGTTAGCAGAGACTTGACCAGCCAGCCAGCATGTTAACAGAGACTTGACCAGCCAGCCAGCATGTTAGCAGAGACTTGACCAGCCAGTCAGCATGTTAATGGAGACTTGACCGGTCATCATGTTAACAGAGACTTGACCAGCCAGCCAGCATGTTAATGGAGACTTGACCAGCCATCATGTTAGCAGAGACTTGACCAGCCATCATGTTAGCAGAGACTTGACCAGCCAGCCAGCATGTTAGCAGAGACTTGACCAGCCAGCATGTTAGCAGAGACTTGACCAGCCAGCATGTTAGCAGAGACTTGACCAGCCAGCCAGCATGTTAGCAGAGACTTGACCAGCCAGCATGTTAGCAGAGACTTGACCAGCCAGCATGTTAGCAGAGACTTGACCAGCCAGCATGTTAGCAGAGACTTGACCAGCCAGCCAGCATGTTAGCAGAGACTTGACCAGCCAGTCATCATGTTAACAGAGACTTGACCAGCCAGCATGTTAGCAGAGACTCGACCAGCCAGCCAGCTTGTTAGCAGAGACTTGACCAGCCAGCATGTTAGCAGAGACTTGACCAGCCAGCCATAATAACAGTGGATGTTAAAGATGTTCACTTAATAGAGCAATATGTTGTTTCTGAATATATAGTTAAAGGGCAATTCCGCCACTTTTGAACCTTATATTCATAATCTCCAACATCAAACACGTGTCTACAAATGTGGTTAAAGGTTAAAAAAAAATGCATCTCTGTGACATCACAGGGTAGGATTAAACGTAAAAAACTGGGATTTTCTAAACCTGCAACGAGTTTCTAGCCCAAGGGAAGGTATTTTCTTAGTTTGAAAATCACTGTTGTCATCGGGTAGAAATCTTTATATATTTTTTCTGCAAAAGTTTTCACATATGATGACACCAGTAATGTGCTGGAGACAATAAGGTTGAAAGGTGGTGGAGTTGCCCTTTAAAACACAAAGGAAGGTCTAAAAATCAGTTGACAGCTTGCTACCTCATGTAAGGTTCCTTAAAACAACATAGAAACCACATACATTTCACATGGAAACCACATACATCTTTTGCTGCCAGAACATGGTATTTATATAGTTATCAATTAAATGGTTATTAACATTTATGGAAATACTTCAATGACATTGGACTCTTCATGCTGCCACAGAGTAAGCCATGCAGAGGAGACACTCCCATTGGGTAATAGCTACACTCCCATTGGGTAATAGCTATACTCCTATTGGGTAATAGCTACACTCCCACTGGGTAATAGCTACACTCCTATTGGGTAATAGCTACACTCCCATAGGGTAATAGTTACACTCCCACAGGGTAATAGTTACACTCCCACAGGGTAATAGTTACACTCCCACAGGGTAATAGTTACACTCCCACAGGGTAATAGCTACACTCCCACAGGGTTATAGTTACACTCCCACAGGGTAATAGTTACACTCCCACAGGGTAATAGCTACACTCCCACAGGGTAATAGCTACACTCCCATTGGGTAATAGTTACACTCCCACAGGGTAATAGCTACACTCCCACTGGGTAATAGCTACACTCCCATTGGGTAATAGTTACACTCCCACAGGGTAATAGCTACACTCCCACTGGGTAATAGCTACACTCCCATTGGGTAATAGTTACACTCCCACTGGGTAATAGCTACACTCCCATAGGGTAATAGCTACACTCCCACTGGGTAATAGCTATACTCCTATTGGGTAATAGCTACACTCCCACAGGGTAATAGCTACACTCCCACTGGGTAATAGCTACACTCCTATTGGGTAATAGCTACACTCCCATAGGGTAATAGTTACACTCCCACAGGGTAATAGTTACACTCCCACAGGGTAATAGTTACACTCCCACAGGGTAATAGCTACACTCCCACTGGGTAATAGTTACACTCCTATTGGGTAATAGCTACACTCCCACTGGGTAATAGTTACACTCCTATTGGGTAATAGCTACACTCCCACTGGGTAATAGCTACACTCCCATTGGGTAATAGTTATACTCCCACTGGGTAATAGCTACACTCCCACTGGGTAATAGCTACACTCCCACAGGGTTATAGTTACACTCCCATTGGGTAATAGCTACACTCCCACAGGGTAATAGCTACACTCCTATTGGGTAATAGCTACACTCCCACTGGGTAATAGCTACACTCCCATTGGGTAATAGCTTTAGGAAAAGAGCAGTGATCAAATTTGTCCTCTGAAGAATAACAGTGTGTATCGGTGCAGCCAGCAGATATATTTAGGAATTTGATAAGAGCCGACCGTCGACAGACAATACCTTTAAACCTTTGTCTTATCTTTTTCATTTACATAAATGATATTTCCCTCTCCGTTGTGTTGTGTTGTATTGCAGGGTATAGACAGCCAGAATGATCCTTTGTATTAGAGATTCTATTCATCATTCATCTATCTGCTTCTTCCCTTTGTCCCCCTGATGGCTTCGTTTACCTATGACTCACTACGAGACTGTTGGGATGCATCCAAAATGTCCCTCTATCCCTTATACTAACCCTATATAGGGAACAGGGTGCCATTTGGGACGCCTCTAATCTAGAGCTTAATTAAACTGGAACACGTACTCAAGATACTAACTTTATCCTGGACAGAAAAGTGAGTTCAGTACATTACAAATATGTTTGCTGGTAATTAATCATAGCTTTCAAGCTACAGAAGAATTTGAAAAAAATAACTCCCCAGCTTCATTTAATTCTATCAGTTACTAGTTGCCAAGAATCGCTTGCCAGTCGTAGAGCCTTAGTCCAAAGCACTACAGGAGGACAGTGATTCAGGGGGCATTGTCTACACATAGAGATGATCCGTTATGTGAAGAGTGTTATTTAAAGTTAAAAGACAATAGCAAACAATATTACAGGAGCAAAAACCCTGTGCTATCCTGGAGCACGAGTACAGGACATTACAAGGCTGCTTCCGACCGTTCTACAACAGATGCTGGGAGCTGACACTGTCGTAGTCCATGTGGGGTCAAACGACATCAGGAGGGCTAGCTCCGAACTTCTGAAAATTGATTTTAAAGAACTGATTCTAGCACTGAAAGATTCCAAAAAGCGGCCAATCATTTCAGGTCCGGTACCATCGTTGGGCCATCGTCAGCAGGCTACTGGCACACCTGACTGTAGCTCTGTTGGAATCACTTTTATAGATAACTTCGACACCTTCTGGAAACAGAAAATGCTTTACAGGAATGACGGAGTCCATCCAAATCATCTTGGCTCCTGGACTCTGTCCACGCATTTCTAGGCTGCGTTGAGACAATGACTTACCAATGGCCCAAGACCAGCTTAGTTAATCCCTTCCATTGTGTCGCTGAGTTGTCATAATGCTGCATCAAATGTACATTATCCCAGGGGCGTTGGCAGACACAATGTAAGTAACTTAATTTATGTCCCCCTAACTGCCCTGAATACCTCTGTTGATCCTACAGCTATTGTATGCAGTAATCATGTGCCTATGAACCAGAGTTATACTGTTAGCACTGAGGCGGTGTGCCCAAGTAGGAAGTCCACTGTGTGCAGCTCATCCTGCACTATCAGTTCCAATATAAATAACATGTGCATTTTCTACTTCTGATTAGCTTCCCACTAAAGCATTAAAAACAATCAAGCATCACAGAAAAGTGCTAAAAATAGCCCATATTAACATATGTAGCATAAGAAACAAGGTTCATGAAGTCAATAATTTGCTAGTAACAGATGACATTCATATTCTGACAATCTCTGAAACTCACTTAGATAATACCTTTGATGATACAGTGGTAGCAATACATGGTTATAACATCTACAGAAAAGACAGCAATGCCAATGGTGGAGGTGTTGCGGTCTATATTCAGAACCACATTCCTGTAAAGCTTAGAGAGGATCTCATGTTAAATACTGTTGAAGTAATATGGCTACAGGTTCATCTGCCTCACCTAAAGCCCATTCTGGTGGGAAGCTGCTATAGACCACCAAGTGCTAACAGTCAGTATCTGGATAATATGTGTGAAATGCTTGATAATGTATGTGATATCAACAGAGAGGTATATTTTCTGGGTGATTTCAATATTGACTGACTTTCATTAAGCTGCCCACTCAAGAAAAAGCTACAAACTGTAACCAGTGCCTGCAACCTGGTTCAGGTTATCAGTCAACCTACCAGGGTTGTTACAAACAGCACAGGAAAGAAATCATCAACATGTATTGATCACATCTTTACTAATGCTGCAGAAATTTGCTTTAAAGCAGTATCCAAATACATAGGATGTAGTGATCACAATATAGGAGCCATATCTAGGAAAACTTCCAAAGGCTGGGCCTAATAATGTGTATAAGAGGTCATAAAATAAGTTTTGTAGTGATTCCTATGTTGTTGATGTAAGAATATTTGTTGGTCCATGGTGTGTAATGAGGAGCAACCAGACGCTGCACTTGACACATTTATGAAATTGCTTATTCTGGTTACTAATAAGCATGCACCCATTAAGAAAATGACTGTAAAAACTGTTAAATCCCCTTGGATTGATGAGTAATTGAAAAATTGTATGGTTGAGAGGGATGAGGCAAAAGGTATGGCAAATAAGTCTGGTACCACAACCGATTGGCAAACGTATTGCAAATTAAGAAATCATGTGATTAAACAAAATTAAAAGAAGAAATAACTATACTATGAAACAAACATAAATTATATAAAGAATGATGGTAGAAAGTTTTGGACCACCTTAAATGAAATTTTGGGCAAAAAGGCAAACTCGGATCCATCATTAATTGAATGAGATGGCTCATTCATCACAAAACCGACTGATATTGCCAACTACTTTAATGATTTTTTCATTTGCAAGATTAGCATACAAAGGCATGACATGCCAGCAACAACCGCTGACACTACACATCCAAGTATATCTGACCAAATTATGAAAGACAAGCATTGTACTTTTGAATTCCGTAAAGTGAGTGTGGAAGACGTGAAAAAAGTATTGTTGTCTATCAACAATGACAAGTGACGGGGTCTGACAACTTGGATGGAAAACTACTGAGGATAATAGCAGACGATATTGCCAATCCTATTTGCCACATCTTCAATTTAAGCCTACTAGAAAGTGTGTGTTCTCAGGCCTGGAGGGAAGCTAAAGTCATTCCACTACCCAAGAATAGTAAAGCCCCCTTTACTGGCTCAAATAGCCGACCAATCAGCCTGTTACCAACCCTTAGTAAACTATTGGAAAAAAAATTGTGTTTGACCAGATACAATGCAGATACAGTGGGGCTTTTGACATTATCGATCCTAGTCTGCTGCTGGAAAAACGTATGTGTTATGGCTTTACACCCCCTGCTATATTGTAGATAAATAGTTACCTGTCTAACAGAACACAGAGGGTGTTCTTTAATGGAAGCCTCTCCAACATAATCCAGGTAGAATAAGGAATTCCCCAGGGCAGCTGTCTAGGCCCCTTACTTTTTTCAATCTTTACTAACGACATGCCACTGGCTTTGAGTAAAGCCAGAGTGTCTATGTATGCGGATGACTCAACACTATACATGTCAGCTACTACAGCGACTGAAATGACTGCAACACTTAACAAAGAGCTGCAGTTAGATTCAGAATGGGTGGCAAGGAATAAGTTAGTCCTAAATATTTCAAAAACTAAAAGCATTGTGTTTGGGACAAATCATTCACTAAACCCTAAACCTCAACTAAATCTTGTAATGAATAATGTGGAAATTGAGCAAGTTGAGGTGTCTAAACTGCTTGGAGTAACCCTGGATTGTAAACTGTCATGGTCAAAACATATTGATACAACAGTAGCTAAGATGGGGAGAAGTCTGTCCATAATAAAGCGCTGCTTTACCTTCTTAACAGCACGATCAACAAGGCAGGTCCTACAGGCCCTAGTTTTGTCACACCTGGACTACTGTTCAGTCGTGTGGTCAGGTGCCACAAAAAAGGACTTAGGAAAATTGCAATTGGCTCAGAACAGGGCAGCACGGCTGGCCCTTGGATGTACACAGAGAGCTAATATTAATAATATGCATGTCGAGCTCTCCTGGCTCAAAGTGGAGGAGAGATTGACTTAATCACTACTTGTGTTTATGAGAGGTGTTGACATGTCGGGTGCACTGAGCTGTCTGTTTGAGCTACTGGTGCACAGCTCGGTCACCCTTGCATACCCCACAAGACATGCCACCAGAGGTCTCTTCACAGTCCCCAAGTCCAGAACAGACTATGGGAGGCGAACAGTTCTACATAGAGCCATGACTACATGGAACTCTATTCCACATCAAGTAACTGATGCAAGTAGTAAAATTAGATTCAAAAAACAGATCAAAACCACCCTATGGAACAGCGGGGACTGTGAAGCAACACAAACATAGGTGCAGACACATTCATACAAACACACAATAACATTCACACTATACACACACATGGAGTTTGTACTGTAGATATGTGGTGGTAGTGGTGGAGTAGGGGCCTGAGGGCACACAGTGTGTTGTGAAATCTGTATGTATTGTAATGTTTTTAAAATGGTATAAACTGCCTTAATTTTGCTGGACCCAAGGAAGAGTAGCTGCTGCCTTGGCAGGAACTAATGGGGGTCCATAATAAACCCCAGGAAGAGTAGCTGCTGCCTTGCCATGAACTAATGGGGATCCATAATAAACCCCAGGAAGAGTAGCTGCTGCCTTGCCATGAACTAATGGGAATCCATAATAAACCCCCAGGAAGAGTAGCTGCTGCCTTGGCAGGAACTAATGGGGATCCATAATAAACCCCAGGAAGAGTAGCTGCTGCCTTGGCAGGAACTAATGGGGATCCATAATAAACCCCAGGAAGAGTAGCTGCTGCCTTGCCATGAACTAATGGGGATCCATAATAAACCCCAGGAAGAGTAGCTGCTGCCTTGGCAGGAACTAATGGGGATCCATAATAAACCCCAGGAAGAGTAGCTGCTGCCTTGCCATGAACTAATGGGGATCCATAATAAATACAAATACAAATACAAATGTGACTACATAGAAATAGCCTTTCCTTTCCCCTGTTAGCGACGTGTTCCACTTTGGATGACGTTGGGCATGGTTATTTTGTTTGTTATTTTTGTGTGGTGTCCGTGGACGGAGAAGTTGTCTCGGGGGCACATCCGTGGTTTGGGGGTAATCCACTGCAGAATGCAGTGGTAGCCATGCTGGTTAAGTGTGCCTTGAATTCTAAATAAATCACAGACAGTGTCACCAGCAAAGCACCCCCACACCATATCACCTCCTCCTCCATGCTTCACGGTGGGAAATACACATGCAGTGATCATCCGTTCACCCACACCGCGTCTCACAAAGATACAGCGGTTGGAACCAAAAATCTCAAATTTGGACTGCAGACCAAAGGACAAATTTCCACCAGTCTAATGTCCATTGCTCGTGTTTCTTGGCCCAAGCAAGTCTCTTCTTCTTATTGGTGTCCTTTAGTAGTGGTTTCTTTGCAGCAATTCGACCATGAAGGCCTGATTCACACAGTTTCCTCTGAACAGTTGAGGCTGGTAACTCTAATGAACGTATCCTCTGCAGCAGAGTTAACTCTGGGTCTTCCATTCCTGTGGCGGTCCTCATGAGAGTCAGTTTCATCATAGCACTTGATGGTTTTTGCGACTGCACTTGAAGAAACTTTCAAAGTTCTTGAAATGTTCCGTATTGACTGACCTTCATGTTTTAAAGTAATGATGGACTGTCGTTTCTCTTTGCTTATTTGAGCTGTTCTTGCCATAATATGGACTTGGTCTTTTACCAAATAGGGCTATCTTCTGTATACCTGACAGATGAATCCAAAGAAACGTTCTGACACTGACAGATGAATCCAAAGAAACGTTCTGACACTAACAGATGAATCCAAAGAAACGTTCTGACAATGACAGATGAATCCAAAGAAAAAAAGTTTTGATTTTCGACAGATTAAACCAAAGAAAGTTCTGATACTGACAGATGAACCAAAAGGGATTTTTGCACTGACAGATGAATCCAAAAAAAACTGATACTGACAGATGAATCCAAAAGGGATTTTTGACACAACGATGAATCCAAAGAAAGTTTTGAACGGACAATGAACCAAAAAAAACTTTGACACTGACAGAGAATCCAAAGAAACGTTTTATACACAGAAATCCAAAGAAAAATTTCACTTGGACAGATGAATCCCAAAAAAAAAAACGTTTACCCGAAAAGAAAACCAAAGAAAATTTTTGACCCTGACAATGAATAAAGAAACTTCTGATCTGACAGATGAATCCAAAGGGACGTTTTTTACACTCAAAGAATCCAAAAGGGACTTTTTACAAACAGATGAAACCCAAAAAACGTTTTTCACACAATGAATCCAAAGAAACGTTCTGATACTGACAGAGAAACCCCAAAGAAACGTTCTGACACTCACAGATGAATCCAAAGAAACGTTCTGATACTGACAGATGAATCCAAAGGCACGTTCTGGCACTAACAGATGAATCCAAAGAAACGTTCTGACACTGACAGATGAATCCAAAGAAACGTTCTGATACTGTAGTGTACAGTCTGCTGCCTCACAGTGTGGCTTTCTGCTGCTAGAGATATACTGTAGTGTACAGTCTGCTGCCTCCAGTGGTGGCTTTCTGCGACTAGAGATATACTGTAGTGTACAGTCTGCTGCCTCACAGTGTGGCTTTCTGCTACTAGAGATATACTGTAGTGTACAGTCTGCTTTGGGCCTCACAGTGTGGCTTTCTGGCTGCTAGGAGATATACGTAGTGTATATGTCTGCTTGCCTCACCAGTGTGGCTTTCTGCTGCTAGAGATATACTGTAGTGTAACAGTCTGCTGCATCAACAGTGTGGCTTTTCTGATGCTGCCTAGCAGATTTACTGTTAGTGTATAGTCTGCTGCCTCCACAGTTGTGGCTTTCTGTCCTGTAGAGATATACTGTAGTGTACAGTTCTGCTGCCTCACAGTGTGGCTTTCTGCTACTAGAGATATACTGTAGTGTACAGTCTGCTGCCTCACAGTGTGGCTTTCTGCTACTAGAGATATACTGTAGTGTACAGTCTGCTGCCTCACAGTGTGGCTTTCTGCTACTAGAGATCTACTGTAGTGTACAGTCTGCTGCCTCACAGTGTGGCTTTCTGCTACTAGAGATATACTGTAGTGTATAGTCTGCGGCCTCACAGTGTGGCTTTCTGCTACTAGAGATATACTGTAGTGTATAGTCTGCGGCCTCACAGTGTGGCTTTCTGCTACTAGAGATCTACTGTAGTGTACAGTCTGCTGCCTCACAGTGTGGCTTTCTGCTGCTAGAGATATACTGTAGTGTACAGTCTGCTGCCTCACAGTGTGGCTTTCTGCTACTAGAGATATACTGTAGTGTACAGTCTGCTGCCTCACAGTGTGGCTTTCTGCTGCTAGAGATATACTGTAGTGTACAGTCTGCTGCCTCACAGTGTGGCTTTCTGCTACTAGAGATATACTGTAGTGTACAGTCTGCTGCCTCACAGTGTGGCTTTCTGCTGCTAGAGATATACTGTAGTGTACAGTCTGCGGCCTCACAGTGTGGCTTTCTGCTGCTAGAGATATACTGTAGTGTATAGTCTGCTGCCTCACAGTGTGGCTTTCTGCTACTAGAGATATACTGTAGTGTACAGTCTGCTGCCTCACAGTGTGGCTTTCTGCTACTAGAGATATACTGTAGTGTACAGTCTGCTGCCTCACAGTGTGGCTTTCTGCTACTAGAGATATACTGTAGTGTATAGTCTGCTGCCTCACAGTGTGGCTTTCTGCTACTAGAGATCTACTGTAGTGTACAGTCTGCTGCCTCACAGTGTGGCTTTCTGCTGCTAGAGATATACTGTAGTGTACAGTCTGCTGCCTCACAGTGTGGCTTTCTGCTACTAGAGATATACTGTAGTGTTTCAGTCTGCTGCTCACAGTGTGGCTTTCTGCTACTAGAGATATACTGAGTGTAAAGTCTGCTGCCTTTACAGTGTGGCTTTCTGCTACTAGAGATATACTGTAGTGTATAGTCTGCTGCCTCACAGTGTGGCTTTCTGCTGCTAGAGATATACTGTAGTGTCAGTCTGCTGCCTCACAGGTGGGCTTTTGCTGCTAGAGAATATGTAGTGTATAGTCTGCTGCCTCACGTGTGGCTTTTGCTGCTAAAGAATAAATGTAGTGTATAGTCTGCTGCCTCACAGTGTGGCTTTTCTGCTGCTAGAGATATACTGTAGTTTTACAGTCTGCTGCTCACAGTGTGGCTTTCTGCTACTAGAGATATACTGTAGTGTACAGTCTGCTGCCTCACAGTGTGGCTTTCTGCACTAGAGATATACTGTAGTGTATAGTCTGCTGCCCCACAGTGTGGCTTTCTGCTGCTAGAGATATACTGTAGTGTACAGTCTGCTGCCTCACAGTGTGGCTTTCTGCTACTAGAGATATACTGTAGTGTATAGTCTGCTGCCTCACAGTGTGGCTTTCTGCTGCTAGAGATATACTGTAGTGTATAGTCTGCTGCCTCACAGTGTGGCTTTCTGCTGCTAGAGATATACTGTAGTGTACAGTCTGCTGCCTCACAGTGTGGCTTTCTGCTACTAGAGATATACTGTAGTGTACAGTCTGCTGCCTCACAGTGTGGCTTTCTGCTGCTAGAGATATACTGTAGTGTATAGTCTGCTGCCTCACAGTGTGGCTTTCTGCTACTAGAGATATACTGTAGTGTATAGTCTGCTGCCTCACAGTGTGGCTTTCTGCTACTAGAGATATACTGTAGTGTACAGTCTGCTGCCTCACAGTGTGGCTTTCTGCTACTAGAGATCTACTGTAGTGTACAGTCTGCTGCCTCACAGTGTGGCTTTCTGCTGCTAGAGATATACTGTAGTGTATAGTCTGCTGCCTCACAGTGTGGCTTTCTGCTGCTAGAGATAAATGTAGTGTACAGTCTGGGTGCCTCACAGTGTGGCTTTTGTACTAGAGATATACTGTAGTGTACAGTCTGCTGCCTCACAGTGGGCTTTCTGTACAGAGATATACTGTAGTGTACAGTCGCTGCCTCACAGTGTGGCTTTTGCTACTAGAGATATACTGTAGTGTATAGTCTGCTGCCCCACAGTGTGGCTTTCTGCTACTAGAGTATACGTAGTGTACAGTTGCTGCCCCCAGGTGCTTTCTGCTACTAGAGATATACTGTAGTGTACAGTTGTGCCCCACGTTGGCTTTGCTACTAGAGATATACTGTAGTGAAGTTTGCTGCTACAGTGTGGGTTCTGCCCACTAGAGATTACGTGTGTAATCGCTGCCTACAGGGGCTTTCTGCTGCTAGAGATATACTGTTAGTGTCCTGTGCCTCACAGTTTTGGCTTTGCTCAGAGATTATGTAGTGTACAGTCTGCTGCCCCACAGTGTGCTTTCTGCTACTAGAGATATACTGTAGTGTACAGTCTGCTGCCTCACAGTGTGGCTTTCTGCTACTAGAGATATACTGTAGTGTACAGTCTGCTGCCTCACAGTGTGGCTTTCTGCTACTAGAGATATACTGTAGTGTATAGTCTGCTGCCTCACAGTGTGGCTTTCTGCTGACTAGAGATATACTGTAGTGTACAGTCTGCTGCCTCACAGTGTGGCTTTCTGCTGCTAGAGATATACTGTAGTGTATAGTCTGCTGCCTCACAGTGTGGCTTTCTGCTGCTAGAGATATACTGTAGTGTATAGTCTGCTGCCTCACAGTGTGGCTTTCTGCTGCTAGAGATATACTGTAGTGTACAGTCTGCTGCCTCACAGTGTGGCTTTCTGCTGCTAGAGATATACTGTAGTGTATAGTCTGCTGCCTCACAGTGTGGCTTTCTGCTGCTAGAGATATACTGTAGTGTATAGTCTGCTGCCTCACAGTGTGGCTTTCTGCTGCTAGAGATATACTGTAGTGTATAGTCTGCGGCCTCACAGGTGGGCTTTCTGCTGCTAGAGAATACTGTAGTGTACAGTCTGCTGCCTCACAGTGTGGCTTTCTGCTACTAGAGATATACTGTAGTGTACAGTCTGCTTGCCTCAACAGTGGTGGCTTTCTGCTGCTAGAGATATACTGTAGTGTACAGCTGCTGCCTCAGTGTGGCTTTCTGCTGCTAGAGATATACTGTAGTGTACAGTCTGCTGCCTCACAGTGTGGCTTTCTGCTACTAGAGATATACTGTAGTGTACAGTCTGCTGCCTCACAGTGTGGCTTTCTGCTACTAGAGATATACTGTAGTGTATAGTCTGCTGCCTCACAGTGTGGCTTTCTGCTGCTACAGTCTACTGTACACTACAGCAGGGTTTCCCAAACTCAGTCCCCCCCCCCCCCCCCCACAAGTGGAAGATAATTCTGAATGCAATGGGATGTTAATTTATTTCTATAGGAGTGGCATGTGTCCCCATTGGGTTGAAATCCTCTGACAGATCTACAAGTGATCTGAAAATAGATTTTCTGATTAACATTTAATGAGCTTACTTCGCTCTGGATCACTTTGAAAGTGACTCCTGGTTGGTGAAGCAGGTGGCTTGGATACAGTACGACTCACACAATGTACTGTGGTATATTACAGCTCCTGTCCTGAGCATGTGCAGTAAAAACCTTATCCTTGACAATGTTTTTTTGTTGTTGTTATATCGTAGACTGCAATACGCAATAAAGAAATATTATGATTGTTACTATGATGATCAAACCCCACTTTACAAAGAAGGATTTTTTTTACGTCTTTGCTATAACTCTGAGGGATTATGTCTGATCATGTCTCGTCTAGTACATGAACAGTAAATGAACAATGCACTTATTTCCCTGAGGTTTGAATGAACTACCAGGATCACAGACTGCAATAAATGGTGGACAGTTAACAGATCAATGTTGATGTTAACGGGAACAATTCATGCCCGTTAACAGCGCCGGAATTCCATCACTACGAGAACGGCCATGATGGTCACTCTGACCGTTGATATTTCAATTGTGTAAATATTCCATAATAAATAACACATTGCGAAACGAATGCATTTATAATAAAAAAACAAAAGGTAATAAGAAACCTCAGGACACCAAATGTAAACTGTAATCAGTCAGAAAATGTATTGCTTGTTCCAGAAGTGCATAGACTGTCAATTCTAGACAACAGTTGCCTGCCCAGCTAATGATCAACCAGGTCCTCTCTGTCTAGTGTAAAGTTGAGGCCCTGTCATCGACCAGGGCAGGCCAGGGTTAGGAGGGGGGCACCCTTAGCGGCGTTGGCAGAAAGCGGATGTTTCTGGTTTTCAGGGATACAGTATTTTCAACCTAAGTTCCGTTTCCGCCTGAAAAATGGAAGTGGGGACTCCACTCAGGCGTCTTTCTATGATTGCTGCGTTGGGTTAGGAGGGGGCTGAGGGGGGCTGGGAGGGCGGAGAGAGGGCCTGTCAGTTCCTGTGATCTGGGGCCTTGGAGGAAGGGAATATGTAAGGCTGAGGCTCCTGACCACTGTGTGTCCTCCCTGCCTGCTAGCTAGCAGAGCAGCCTGATGATGCTGAGTACTGTGGACGGGCCTCTGAGCCATCACAGAGACACACACGCACGCACGCACGCGCACACACACACACACACACACACACACACACACACACACACACACACACACACACACACACACACACACACACACACACACACACACACACACACACACACACACACACAAGCACGTGTGTGTGTGTGTGTGTGCATGCCTCTCACAATATGATTGGGTAAATTGAGAAGGCTTCTCTTTAATCTCTCCAGCAGAGCTCTCAGACATGTTGTAATCTGTTCCTGAGAGACTCGGATACCCTCCTATCCTCTCCTCTCACAATCCCAGGTTGCAGCCCAAGTGGCACCCTACATACTAAACCATTTTTAACCAGGGCCCATATACAGAGAATAGGGTGTCCTTAGGAATGCAGACCCACATGGGAAAAAACAGCCCCAAAATAAAGGAAGAAATATGAAGACTATTGTGTTCCCAGGGAGACCTAATATTTATGTGGTTGCGCAGGTTGCAGACAAGCCACAAGCAGGAATTTCCACCTATGTTTTCTCATCACTGGAGAAACCGGAGAGCCTTCAACCCAGTGTTAAAATCCTAAAACACACTGTTACCACCAACAGCATTCATTCTCTAACACCACAACCACCAGTCATATGTGGCTACAGAGCCAAGAGAGAGTGAAATGCTCACCGATTGCATAATCTCTTTCTGCACTCTGTGCGCTATTATTCAAAAAGAACATGACCCTTGTATCACTAGTAGAAAGCAGGCCAGACAGGCCAGTGTTTCTTCATACTGGTCAACTCATCATCACACCTTTGATACGTGGAACCAGGTGTGTAGTGCTAGGGAGAGCAAACACTCCAATGTACCCCCTTTTGGTCCCCAGGAACAGGATTAAGAAACATTAGGCTAGGATTAGACAATCCTATCAGGTAGCAGTCACAAGCAGTATTATTCCCAACCTGCAGTGAGCTTCTACACTACCGGTCAAATGTTTTAGAACACCTACTAATTCAAAGGTTTTTTCTTTATTTTTTTTTTTACTATTTTCTACATTGTAGAATAATAGTGAAGACATCAAAACTATGAAATAACACATATGGAATCATGTAGTAACCAAAAAATAGCCCTTACACAGCCTGGAGGTGTGTTGGGTCATTGTCCTGTTGAAAAATAAATGATAGTCCCACTAAGCCCAAACCAGATGGGATGGCGTATCGCTGCAGAATGCTGTGGTAGCCAGGCTGGTTAAGTGTGCCTCTGGGTGTTCCATTCATGTGGAGTCCTCATGAGAGCCAGTTTCATCATAGCGCTTGACTGACCTTCATGTCTTAAAGTAATGATGGACTGTCGTTTCTCTTTGCTTATTTGAGCTGATCTTGCCATAATACGGACTTGGTATTTTACCAAATAGGGCTATCTTTTGTACACCAACCCCTACCTTGTCACAACACAACTGATTGGCTCAAACACATTAAGAAGGAAAGAAATTCCACAAATGACCTTTTAAGAAGGTACACCTGTTAATTTAAATGAATTCCAGGTGACTACCTCAAAAAGCTGGTTGAGAGAATGCCAAGAATGTGCAAAGCTGTCATCAAGGCAAAGGGTGGCTATTTGAAGAATCTCAAATATAAAATATATTTTGATTTGTTTAACACTTTTTTGGTTACTACATGATTCTATATGTGTTATTTCATAGTTTTGATGTCTTCACTATTGTTCTACAATGTAGAACATATTAAAAATAAAGAAAAACCCTTGAATGAGTAGGTGTTCTAAAACTTTTGACCGGTAGTGTCGTTGTGATGTGTTTTAATAGTATTCCCAGGAATGTACTTAGATCTACACATAGAAAAATTAATAAAATGATAGAGCTAGTTGTTAAAAATATTCAGGACACAGAGATATTTTTATATTCACTAGATCTTTCCCAAATGGCATCATATTCCCTATATAGTGCACTACTTTTGACCAGGGATATATAGGGAATAGGGTGCCATTTGGGATACAACCATTGAAGTATCTTTGTTATGACAACTGAACAGTGACACTCTCTGTGTAAAACTACAACATTAATTCAACCTGATGGCTTCTAACACACACACACACACACGCACACACACACACACACACACACGCACGCACACACACACACACACACACACGCAAACACGCACACACGCACGCACGCACGCACGCACGCACGCACGCACGCACGCACACACACAGCCTGGTGGTGCATATTAAATTAATTAATTATCCTAGTAGCAATCACTGGCCTTTGTTGTTATTAAACCATAAACAAGGCAGGTCCCTGGCTGACAGTGTTACCATGGAGCCAGCAGGGGAGATGACTGACGCTAACCTGCTAAACAAGGCAGGTCCCTGGGCTGACAGTGTTACCATGGAGCCCAGCAGGGGAGCTGACTGACGCTAACCTGCTAAACAAGGCAGGTCCCTGGGCTGACAGTGTTACCATGGAGCCAGCAGGGGAGATGACTGACGCTAACCTGCTAAACAAGGCAGGTCCCTGGGCTGACAGTGTTACCATGGAGCCAGCAGGGGAGATGACTGACGCTAACCTGCTAAACAAGGCAGGTCCCTGGGCTGACAGTGTTACCATGGAGCCAGCAGGGGAGATGACTGACGCTAACCTGCTAAACAAGGCAGGTCCCTGGGCTGACAGTGTTTACCATGGAGCCAGCAGGGAGATGACTGACGCTAACCTGCTAAAACAAGGCAGGTCCCTGGGCTGACAGTGTTACCATGGAGCCAGCAGGGGAGCTGACTGACGCTAACCTGCTAAACAAGGCAGGTCCCTGGGCTGACAGTGTTACCATGGAGCCAGCAGGGGAGATGAGTGACGCTAACCTGCTAAACAAGGCAGGTCCCTGGGCTGACAGTGTTACCATGGAGCCAGCAGGGGAGATGACTGACGCTAACCTGCTAAACAAGGCAGGGTCCCTGGGCTGACAGTGTTACCATGGAGCCAGCAGGGGAGATGACTGACGCTAACCTGCTAAAACAAGGCAGGTCCCTGGGCTGACAGTGTTACCATGGAGCCAGCAGGGGAGATGACTGACGCTAACCTGCTAAACAAGGCAGGTCCCTGGCTGACAGTGTTACCATGGAGCCAGCAGGGGAGATGACTGACGCTAACCTGCTAAACAAGGCAGGTCCCTGGGCTGACAGTGTTACCATGGAGCCAGCAGGGGAGATGACTGACGCTAACCTGCTAAACAAGGCAGGTCCCTGGCTGACAGTGTTACCATGGAGCCAGCAGGGGAGATGAGTGACGCTAACCTGCTAAACAAGGCAGGTCCCTGGCTGACAGTGTTACCATGGAGCCAGCAGGGGAGATGAGTGACGCTAACCTGCTAAACAAGGCAGGTCCCTGGCTGACAGTGTTACCATGGAGCCAGCAGGGGAGATGACTGACGCTAACCTGCTAAACAAGGCAGGTCCCTGGGCTGACAGTATTACCATGGAGCCAGCAGGGGAGATGACTGACGCAGGCTCCCTCTGTCCTCTGTTCTAGCGTTGCGTCCCAAATAGCACCCTATTCCCTATTTAGTGCACTACTTTTGACTAGAGCCCCATGGACCCTGGTCAAAAGTAGTGCACTATAAAGGCAATAGGGTGGTATTTGGGACGCTGGTGTTTTTATAGGTCTGGTAGAACACAAGACAATGGCTGCTTTCAGACCTGGCATCTGTGTATTTCATTACAGGGTTGTCCATGTTGAAATTCAACAACTACGCATAAACATGCCTCTTCTCTCAGTCAGTCGGAATACCCCTGAGTGCTTTAGAAAATGAAAGCTGCCTAGTTCCAATACAACAAGTAAAATAAATATCAACAACCATGCATGTTTTAATGTGAGTCTCCATGACCAAAATGTTGTCAGGTTTGACCATAAACCAAATATGAACAGAAGATCACACCAAACCGATGCTGTAACACTGGATGGCAACCGAATGAAAAGGGGTGACGTGATGTGATGTGAAGTGATGTAATGTGTGTGTATGAATACCTAGCTTGGTTAGGAGGTTTTCTAGGGACAGTTTCTCTGAACATTGAATGACTAGTCTTCAGATGTACCTAAGATCATTTCCACATGACAGAATCTATATATGAACACTCAATATGACTCCATCCATTTGCACAGGGCCTTGTTAGTTCTGCTAGTCTGCATTCGTGTGTCTGCCTGTCTGTGTGAATCTGTCCATCTGTGTGTGTGTGTGTGTGTGTGTGTGTGTGTGTATATCTGTGTGTGTGTGTGTGTGTGTGTGTGTATATCTGTGTGTGTGTGTGTGTGTATATCTGTGTGTGTGTGTGTCTGTGCACGTCTATCTGCCCATGGAGAGTTTCCCTAATCAGTGTGTGGTGCGTGTAGAGACTAGAGAGAGAAGCTTTACTGCAGAGGAGAGGTGGACTGTCTCATCAGCACTTTGCCTTCACACACTTCCTGACACAGTAGATGGAGGAGGGGGGGGAGGGGGGGGGGGGGGGGGGGCAAGCGGGGGGGGGCCTGGGGGGGGGTAGAGGAAGGGGGGAGGGAGAGACAGGCAAGGGGAGGCCAGGGTGGGGGAGGGCAGAGGAGGAAGGGGGGGATGGGAGGAGGGAGGAAAGGGGGGGGGGGGGAGGGAGGGGGAGGGGGGAGGGGGGAGGAGGGGGGAGGGAGGGAGGCGGGGGGGGGGGGGGCCGGGGGGGGGGGCGGGGGCCCCCCGGGGGGGGGGGGAAAAAACCAGGGGGGGGGGGGGGGGGGGCCCCGGGGGGGTAGGGGGGGAAGGTCGAGGGGGAGGGGGAAAAGGCAGGGGGGAGGGGGGGGGGGGGAGAGGAGGGGGGAGGGAGGGGGGGAGTGTCAGACAGAGAAACGGGAGAAAAAGGGGAGAGAGAAAAACAGTGGGATAAGTGTGGTATATGTGGATATTAGTCTAGTGGGTTTTGGGGATATAATGTGTATAATAGTCTGTTAGTGTGTAATATAGTCTAGGAGTGTGTATATATAGTGTAGTGGGTGTATATAAAGTGTAATTGTCTAGTGAGTGTGTAATAGTGTGAATAAGTCTATGAGGGGGTATATAAGTGTCCCGTGGGTGTATATATTGTGTGAGGGTTTAAAGTGTATATTTTCTGTGGTGTGTATATATGTCTAGTGAGTGTGTAATAGTGTGTATATATAGTCTAGTGAGTGTTAATATGTCGGGGGTGTTATATAGGTGGATATTAGTCATGATTTTTTATATTAGTTTGTGGGTGTAATTTTGTGTGGATAATAGTCTAGGGGGTGTATATAATGGTAAATTTTTTAGTGAGTGTGTATATAGTGTGTATTATAGTTTGTGAGGTGTTAATAAGTTATATATTTTCTAGTTAGGGGTGTATATTAGTTATTTATTTGTTTATGTCTAGTGAGTGTATAAATGTTATTATTTAGGGGGTTGATATATTTTTATATAGCTGTAGTGGTTATGTGTGTTATTAATTAGTGGGTGTTTTAATTTTGTTAAAATTTTGTTTATGAGGTTTTTAAATTTATATTGTTATGGTGTGATATAGTGTTTATATAGTCTAGTGAGTGTGATATTAGTGGATTGATGGTAAAATAAGTCTTGAGTGGTTTTAGGTTTATATATAGTCTGTGGTGGTATAAGTGGTATATTGTCTAGTGAGTGGTATAATAGTCTAGTGAGTGGTTTTTATAGTGTGGATATATAGTCTAGGAGTGTTGATATAGTCTAGGAGGGGTTTTAAAAGTGTGGGGTTTATAGCTAGGAGTGGTTAATGGGTTTTTATTGTCTAGTGGGTGTATATAGGGGTATATTTGTCTAGTGAGTGTGTAATAGGTTATTAATTTAGTTAGTGTGTTATAATGTGTATATATAGCTAGTGAGTGTGTATATATAGTTAGTGAGTTTTTAGGTTATATGTCTAAAATGGTGTGATATGTGATTTGTCTGTGGGTGTGTATTAGTGTTTATATGTTAGGATGTGTTTTTGTTTTTAAAAATTTTAGTGAGGTGTATATGTGTATATATGTTGTTTGGTGGTATTAGTGTGTTTTGTTTGTGGTGTGTTTTGTTGTGGGGTGTTTTTTATTGTGATAATATAGTCTAGTGAGGTTGTATTATAGTATAGGAGTGTGTTTTAAAAGTTAGTGAGTGTGTAAAATAGGGGAAAAATAAGTTATGAGTGTGTATATAGTGTGTATATAAGTCTTGGGGTGTGTATTAAATGTGTATTTTAGTCTGTAGGGTTAATAGTATAGGGTGTTTATAAGTGTTATATAGTCTAGTGAGGTGTATATAGTGGTAATTAGTCTAGTGAGGTTTTAATAGTGTGTATTATAGTTAGTGAGGTGTATATATGTATATAGTTGTGAATTGTTTTATATAATTAGTGGGTGTTTAGGGGATATATTTTAGTAGTGTTTATAGGGTGTATATTAGTTAGTGAGTGTTTATAAGTGTAATATAGTCAGTGGTGTGTTATTGTTAGTGGAGTGTGTAATAGTGTGTATATATAGTCTAGTGAGTGTGAATAGTGTGTATATAAGTCAGTGAGTGTGTATAAGGTATATTGTTAGTGGGTGTTATAAGTGTTTAAAGTCAGGGGGGTATTAGGGTTTTTATATAGCAGGATGTGATATAGTTGTATATATGTTGTGATTTATATAGGTTTTTATATTAGTTAAATGAGTGTGTTTAGGTTAATATAGTCTATAGGTGTATATATGGAATTTGCTAGGAGTGTGTAATATAGTGTGATAAGTCAGTAGGTGTATATATAGTTAGTGATGTGTAATATAGTTGTGGTGTGTATATGGGTTATATAGTCTAGTGATGGTAATATGGTTTATAGTTTAGGGGGTTTTAGTGTGTATATATATCTAGTGAGTTGAATATAGTCTAGTAGTGGTATATAGTGGTATTATATCTTTAAATGTGTATTATGTGTATTTAGCTAGGGTGTGTATTTTAGGTGATATTAGTTAGTAGTGTGATATATAGGATAGGGAGTGGGTTATTAGTTAGTGAGTGGTATATTTGTTTAATGTCTAGGGGGTGTAAAGGGAATGTCAGTAGTGGAATATGTTATTTTCTATGGTGGATAAAGTTTTGTGGGTTTTTATAGGAAAAGTTATGGTTGGTTTTAATGTGTATAGTGTTTGGGGGGGATGAAGGGAAATCATCAAAAAAGTTTTGGGACCTTTAAAAAAAAGCTTTTTGGGGGTAAAGTTTTTTACGTTTTCCGGGGCGGTGCAGGGGGGGGGGGGGGTTTTTTGGTGGGGGGGGGGGAGGGAGTTGGGGGGAAAAAAAATTTAAAAAGGAAAAAGGGTAAAGGGGCCCGAAAACGGGAGGGGGATTATAAGGGGGGGGGGAAGGGGGGGTGGGGGATGGGAGGGGGAAAGGAAAAAGGGGGGGAAAAAGGGGGGGGGGGGGGGAGGGGGGGGGAGGGGGGGGGGGGGGGGGTGGGGGGGGGGGGGGGGGGGGGGGGGGGTTGGGGGGGGAGGGGGGAAAGGGGGGGGGGGGGGGGGGGGGGGGGAAAAATGGAAGGGGGGGTGGAAGGGGGGAGGGGGTTTTAAAGGGGGGGAGGGGGGGGGGGGGGGGGGGGAGGGGGGGGGGGGGGGGGGGGGGGGGGAAAAAAAAAA